AGAGATATGAAGGAAATCTTTCGCAAGAGGCATATTCCTGTGGGTAGGTCGTCACCGCCGGAAAGGACTTTGCACACTTTTAATGGAATTATATGTGGGTTTTGTTGTTGTTGACCTGTATGGGCTACTGCACTCCAGTCTGGGTGACAGAGTGAGACTTCGACTCAAAAAAAAAAAAAAAAAAGTGATTCCTGAATTACCCTTCCATAACTGGATTTTATAACTCACGTGTGACAGCACTGCAGGTATGAAGTCTACTCTAGGCTCTGTATCTCAGAAGCTGGTTACTTGGACAGGCCACTACATGACATCGAGTCTCTGTTTCAGCACCTCTAAAATGAAGGGGCTAGAACAGAAGATCTCAAATAGCCTGTTTAAACCTGTATTTTGTGATTCTATGAAAAAGAACATTTTGCCACTGAAGTACAGTTCTCCAAATCCTTTGCCATTTTAGCCTTCAAAATTCTTACAGTCTATACAACTAGGGTGCATTTGAAAAATGACACTTCAAGTCAATACCTGTTTGTGACCATAAGGACTGCTTTCTTGCTTCCAAGAACAGCACAGTGGTATCGGTAAGTCTCGCCTTCTAACTTTTTGATATGATTCTGAAAAGGAAACAAGTCTCAAGATTTGGGAAGTATAGGCATTCAAATAGGATTTACAATGCTGTATATTAGCTAATTGTAATAACAGCGTTAGGAAAAAAATTATTAGAAACAAAAGTACAACTCTATGCATTGACACATGAAGCTAGAAAAATATTCACAGCATATTTATAAACTACCTCCCACTGTTTCTTAAAAGAAAAATCTGTGTTGAATGCTTACCAAGTGATCGTCTGGTAAAACACATTTTGTTCCATAGTAATTTACAAATGTTAAAATATCAACCAAAAATAACCACACACTTTAATTAAGGAACATATAAACATATGCTGGTATAAAACTACTACATCAACATTACAGGGATTCTGAAACAGAAGCTCCTGGCAGGACTTCGGGTGGGTCTATGAACTGCCTAACACAAAATATGAAATTCTGAAAATGTAACTCTGCAGCTTTTTCAGGGAATGTTCCATGTTTTTCATCATTTTTTTTTTGATGGGGTCTGTAATCAATCTCAAAGGTTTAGAACCATTGGTTTACACAGAGGTGGATATTAGACACATAAGAATATTCCAAGATAAATAATGTTGAATGTTTTTGAACAGTTAATCTCATAGATTAAACAGGCATTGAGAAGTATATTTATATATCAAATTATATTTCTGATATAAAAGCAAAACAATATTAATACAAACATAAAGAATCTGTGAGATTTCAAAACAGTTGGCACAATTTATTTCTAAAGACAAATACAAGCATGAAATAATCCAACTATAAATAGTCGCACACTAAAGAACATTTATTTTTCCTTTTCAATGGTCTCAAGACTATTGTGATTTGAATTAGTCAACACACATTAAAAATCAGTATGTTTTTTATAATATCATTTATAATGCAGACAATATGTATGAAAACATAAAACATAAACATACTGAATAAATATGATCCTAACATTTTATAACCAAGAATATAACACCAATATTATTCTTAAAATAGTATAATCACAAACAGGGAAAGCACACTTGATGCTATTATTTCAATGCTGAAATATACATTTTTAAAAGATGGTCCTCAGTCATTCCTTGACAATTACAAAAAGTCACGAACATGGAAGAGGAATCCACAAAGAACTAGGCTCTCAACTCCAGAATGAGTCTCAGAGAGGAGTGCAGATTTCATAGCAATAGTCACTTGTTTCACAGTTCACCTGCATAGATTAGCTAAAATCTTTTAACATTTATATCTTAAATTCTTCAAAGAGAAAATGGGAAATTAGTATAATAATTTAGTGCATTTATCTTCAGGATAAAATTTAAATATGTTAAAATATTTAGATGTGAGTTGCAAGTACAAAAAATACTATCCATTGTAGTAGAAATACTACAAAGCATAGAAGTCTCGTAATGCATTTTCATTACTCATCGGGCTATTGTGCTTCAAGTCATTGAGAGCTTTAAAAGTGTAATTTATCAACAAAATACAATCAGAAAACTTTGTTTGCAGCACTACTAACAATCCACTATACTCTGAGATTCAGAAAAGACATTCAGTCACTGATGGCAGCAGATCCTTCCCAAAATGCAACTTAAGGAATTTAACAATGCTATGCAAAAGACTTTTACCCAGTAGTTCAACTTTTCCAAGTAAATTCCAAGGAAATAATATAAGAAAAAGCAAAATGTATAAGGATGTTTATCACAGCATTATTACTGTCAGAAAGAACCTCAATGTCAAGAATTAAGAAGAGTCAAATATATGATGCAAGGTTACCTCAAAAGATGGTAATGTAAGAATTTAAAATATCAATGAAGCATTTCTAAGAACAAATATAACTAAAAGAAGCAAAGCCTGCCATTTTTAAATGTCGTATGAGTATTAAATAAAAAATGGCTATATATACATACATACATATATATTAAAAGTAAAGGATATGCAGAAAAATATATCCTAGGAAAACACAGTATGTGATTTAGTAACACTCAACGCTGAGTATTAAATTAAAGACTACATAGCAGGGTATGGTGATGCACTTGCAGGCCTAGCTCCTCGGGAGGCTGAGGTGGGAGGATCGCTAGAGTCCAGGAGTTTGAGGCTGCAGTGAGATATGACTGCACCAATGTATCCAGCCTGGGCCACAGTGACAGACACCCTAGCTCTTAAAAAAAAAAAAGCAGAACAAAAGATCTCCAAATAAATTGTTTAGAATGTTTCCATATTACAATAAGGGCTAGGAGGATGTAATTTTACACTCTAGTGCTCTTTAATATTTACATGTTTTGTTATACCTGGTCCCTTAAGAACGGAAGGCTTATTTCTTTTATGTATCCAGCACAGGCTAAATAACCAATAAATACTTCTTCTTACTCAACCAACTGATCATAGCAAGATGAGCTAGGAAGGGATGAAACAGTCTAAAGTTTTCAACTGTCCATGCCCACATTTGCCACCCATGGAAAAAACTACCAAATTCTCTCATTAATGTATAATCACTGCATTTCTTACAGTAATTATAATAATATATTAAAGTTTAAAAAGTTGTCTGACATTTTAACAAAAACTAACAAATCAGACAAGATGACTGTGTTTAGCTAAAATAAAAAAAATTTCTTGAAGTCTTGTGCTTATTGACATGTAGTTGTAAAAAGAGAAATCAAAAGGTTAATAACATAAAAAGATCAACAAAAACAATAGGCAAAGATTCCAAAAGTCTCATTAAAATAGTAATATATCCAGAAAAATTAAAGATTATTACTTTTATCTAAAAATCTTAGGAAGGGTAATTATTAGTGATGACTTAAAACAGAATCTTTAGTTATTGTAATGGATTCTCATAGGACACTGTATAATCTTATGACTATTTTTGCCAACCCTCAATTATGTACGCACAAGAAACGCTTCTCAGTTACCTTTAATATGTACACGCTTTGCTATATACTTCATCCCCTAAAGGCAGGAGTCAATTCTTTTGTATATCCAGCACAGGCTGGTCTTTGGATGCCATTCTTTCTTCATTAAAGTGCTTTTTTTAAATATAAAGCATTCGACTTATTAGTCTGATAACTATAGTTTTTAAAATATATAATACAACTGAATAGTTGTATGCTAACAGTTTATTCTCTTCAAATACACCACACATTACATCTAAGTTTATACTTTGGTTCCAATTTTGGAGGGAAGCATAAATGTTGCTAGCTAAGATACTGCTAAGTAAAATTAAACACTTCCGCTATTTATTAAGAAAAAGAAATTAGCCGGGCTCGGTGGCTCAGCCTGTAATCCTGCGCCTTTGGGAGGCTGAGGTGAGTGGATTGTCTGAGCCCACGGGTTCGAGACCCGCCTGGGCAGCGAGACCTCATCTCTACAATAAATCAAAAAATCAGCCGGGCGTGGTAGCGCATGCCTGTAATTCCGGCTACTCGGAAGGCTGAGGCAGAAGGATCGCCGGAGTCCAGCGGCCGCTGCACTCCAGTCTGGGCAACAGAGTGTGACTCCAACTCAAAAAAAAAAAAAAAGAAAAAGAAATTAAAGCTTGAATTATTTGAGGATTCACTTTAGGGATACTAATTTCAAAATGATAATTTGTAATTATTTTTGTTCTCATTAAGAACATGAATCTAAGCAATTAAAAGCAAAAAGATTGCTTTTTAAAAATAAAGACATCTATATACACAAGTGCCACATAAATAATTTCCCTAATTCCATGTTCAACTTCGGTTTACATTAATGAAAACAATTATGAAATAAGCATAACCAACAAAGAGATTCAATTTTTGAAAAGCATAAATGCTAATGGCTAAGAATGTATATAACATAATTATAAAATGACTGCCATTTATTTAGCAATAGTATCAAGGGGTTAAAGAAGAAAAAGAGAGACTAAGGAAACATATCCTCAAGATTCATATGCCAACTACTATTTGAGGTCTAAGGGCAGACTTAGAGTAACTGACACTTCAATTATTAAAACATATGCCCAGTCAATAGTCCTGTAACTTGAGTAAATTTAGATTGATTTGTGAAACAAACTATGTAATTCCATCATCAGTACTCATAAACAAAAACAACACATTCACTAGATTGGACATAGTAATTGTCCTGTTTTTCGACTTCACCTGAAATGCACATGAACACCATAAGAAAAGTTAAAATTTTCAAAATGATAGTGAAAATATCTGCTTCTGAGATCAATAAAATCTTTCGTCCACTAAATGAAGACGAGAGCTGATTTCTTGTACCCATTAATCTTTTATACCAATCTCTTATTCCTGGACAGTATTACCAGGAATACCACTATTCTAATTTGTAGTCAAGTCACTACTATAAAAAGTTCAGATGGAGTGAAAGATGGAGAGAAATTTCAATAAAATCGACAATCTAATTCACACACAGTCAATTAATACCACAGTTTGTTTTGATTTTTAAGGATGAAATCAAGTAGTAGTATAGGAAACATTTACTCTTGTATTTCCAGTTCTTGCTGTGTAGGCAGAAAGACAAAGAAAATAAAGTTAGAAGCATGCAGAAAGATAAAATGTAACATTATACAAAAACAAGGGCTAAGAACAATTACGAGTTATTTCAAAATCAAGGTAGAAAAATATCCATAAATTTCTTTTGTGAGAAAGCCAGTCAGGGGAGAGTAGCAATTTATACATGTATAATATTATCTAAATATAATAAAATTAAAATAAAAGACAAAACTCTTTTTTAAGGTTTAGTAAAATTATAATTGTATACAATCTCTTTTTTTCTCCCCCAGTTCTGTTTACCAGAATAAATCTATCTTTATGAAGTAGTGCATACAAATTAATTTGACTGGGAGAAATAGAAGCAGTGAAATTCCAATAATTAGCCACAAAGCAGACCACCAAAATTAACATTATCCTAATGAGCTATTACAAAAATAGCGATATAGTCTAAGAATTCTTTTAACATTATCTTTTCTGCACACAAAAAAGCTTTGCTCCTGTGCAGAAAAAAATTATCCATTATTTCCATTTAACCTATTATGCTACAATAAAAAACAAATTAATCCAATTCTACTCTAAAAACCATGGATAATCTTTCAAAGCAGTTCATGAATCAGGAACTTTAAGAACTTTCATGGACCCAGAAATCTTTAAGATTCAATAGCTCCTGACCATGAAAAACAGAATTTACCTCAAATAAGTCATAGCCCTCAGATTCCTGTCTATCATATGGACGAATGATGCCATCTTCATGGATCAGGCGAGGGGGACGGAGGCTAGACACTTCCTCAGTTGATTCTGCTGCCCTGAATAAGGCATCAGGGTAGGTATAAGAAAATATGTGAGAATCTTTCAAAATAATACAAAAATGTATGCTGATTAAATACACAAATATTTGACGAAAAAAATCAGTAATTTTAAAGAACTTGCCCAGAATAATGCAAAAGTATTAAGATTCAGTCTGTCTAACTCTAAACCTCCCACTCTTTTCTAAAAGAAAACGAAATACCGAAATAATAAAAGCAGAAACTAGGTTATCTCTTTTGTATGCTCTGTGCCTAGTCTGGCATATGGTAGATACCAATAAACATTTGTTGAATAAAAGAGAAACTGGGCCATAAAAAAATGTATTTTCTTATCCCTTTCTGGTAGCACTTTAATTTGTAAAGCTATCATAGCTTTCAATTTGACTTTATGATCCTTAAGAGCAGACAAAGCATATAACCTATTTATGTATTCCTAGCAACAACTGGCATACAGACACATGTCTTGCGCATAGTATGTCCTGTTACCTCTGAATGCCTTGGAAGGTACTGCTGGCCATATCTATGATTCCACCAGTTGGACGAGCCACCGCACCCACAAGCCCCTTGCCAATTCCTTTGAAGAATCCAGCAGCTCCCTCCCTTTTGGCACCTTCAGAAAATGACAATAAATGTATAAAGGCATTTTTAAAACAGGCAACTTTGAACTCAACAAAAACCTGAGCCAGATACTAAATTGTCTTACCTAGAAAGCTACGAGAATTTGGCTTTCTAGAGAAGTTAAATTTACTCCTAGTATGATAAAATAGTGGTTTCCAAAGTGTGTTAGAAATTCAAATTCCTGGGTCCCACCCCAGGCCCACTGAATCAAACTCTGAGGGTGGGGCCAACAATCTGTGTCTTCACAAGCATCCCAGGCAATCCTGAGGCATGCTCAAGTTCTAGAACCACAGACCTAGAAGTTTCAGCAGTACTTATAACTGAAAAGTCTAAGAACTGGTCAGAAGATGTTCTTTTTTATGCTGACCATCAGAAGACTTTCCAAGCAGTGTACTTAAAAAATAAAAATAAAAACTTGACTGAAATTAGTTTACAAACCACAAAATTGATCAAATAAAGTATACAAATTAAATTTTAGTACAAATTAGCTTTTTAGAATATCAGATGCCACCACCACCACTACAATCAATTTTAGAAAATTTTCAATCATCAAAAAAAAAAAAAAAAAAAATCCTATCTATCAGCAATCATTCATTTCCCCTGACTCCTCCCCTCCCAATTCTACCCAATTTACCCCACTCCTCCTTGCCCCTTCCAACCTCCAGACCTGGGCAACCACTTAGAGATACTTTCTCAATGGATTTCATATAAATGGATATATAGACTATTGTAACTGGTTTCTTTTTTCACTTAGCATCATGTTTTGGTTTTTTTTTGGTTTTTTTTTTGAGTTGGAGTCTCACTCTGTCGCCCAGACTGGAGTGCAGTGGCAGCTCCTGGCCACCGCAGCCTTGACCTGCTGGGCTCCAGCGATCCTTCCGCCTCAGTCTTCCAAGTAGCTGGAACTACAGGTGCACGCTACCATGCCCAGCTAATTTTTGACCTATTGTAGAGATGAGGTCTCACCAAGTTGCCTAGGCGGGTCTCAAACCCACAGGCTCAGGCAATCCACTCACCTCAGCCTCCCAAAGCCTGGGATTACAGGCTGAGCCACTGAGCCCGGCAGGATCATGTTTTCAAGGTTTATCTACTTTCTTTCGGCTGAATAATATGCCAATGTATGGATATGCTACCTTTTGTTTATTTATGCAACAGGTGACAGACATTTGGGTTGTTTTCGTCTTTTGCTATTTTGAATAACGCTGCTATGAACATTTTTTGTTTTCAATTCTTCTGGTTACATATCTAACAGTAAAATTTCTGGGTCACATGTTAACTTCATGCTTAACTTTTTGAGGCACTGCCAGACTATATTCCTCCAAAGTGGCTGCACTCTTTTACACTCCCACCAGCAGTGTATGAGGGTTGACAGTTTCTCCACATCCTCCTCAATACTTGATTGTAGCCATCCTCATTGGTGTGAAGTGATGATCTTGTTATTGTTTTGACTTGCATTTCCCTGATGACTAATGATGCTGAGCAGACTTTCATATGCTTATTGGTCATTTGTAGGTCTTCTTTGGGGAGGTTCTACTTACATCCTTTGTTCATTTTAATTTTTTTTATTATTGAGTTGTAATCATTCTTTATACATTCAATATATAATTTTTTATTAGATACCTGTTTTGCAAAAATTTTCTCCTATTCTATGAACTGTCTTTTCCCTTTCTTGATGAAGTACTTTGAAACATGAGTATTTTACATTTTAAAGTTCAATTTTTTGGGGACTGCTGGCAAGATGGTGAGGGAACAGGTGGGACTGTGAGAGTCTCTGCAAAGGTGAGTGTCCATAAAGACTCTGCATGAGTGGGTGTGTGCTGGTGGGTGAGTGGATGTGAACCTGAATCTCCCCTCAGTAGGTGACTGCAGCCCCCCACTGGCCTGAGATTGGAGCCGCTGGTGCACAGGATCATCTGCTGTTCTCAGGGCTCTCCTGAGAAGAGGCAGCAGAAAGCAGCCAGTCTTCATTACCTGGCACCCAGCCCACACCATCACTTGTGTCAGCAAAGCACTACAAGCTCAGGATCCATGGAGAGAGATCGGGGAGAGCTGGAGAGGAGTCCCTCCACCAGCCAGGAAATGCTGACTGGAGACATATTCTCTGTCCCAGACCAGGCAGAGACCTGCATTGCCCTGCCCAGCTTCACCCAGCCTCTAACTTGGGACTCAGAGGCTATCTCATCAAACTTGGAGAGACAGACGCCTCTCCCCCACACTGCAGCAAACACAGACACGTCAGATGTGAGTGGGAGACTTGACAGGCAGCAAGCCAGGTGAGTCCAGATCTGATCCGCCCTCCTCCCACAGTAGGCCCTGAGAGCAACCCTATCAGTATGCGTTGAGAGCAGAGCGGTGGGGCTGGAGATGAGAGCTGAAAGGAAGTTGGATTTACAGGAATGACCTCAGAGGGAGTTTTGCTTTGTGTGTGTGTGTTTTTCTTTTTGTTTGTTTTGTTTCGCTCATGTTTTTCTGTTTTTTGCTTTAGTTCTTTTTTTCTCTCTTCTTTCTGTTTTTGATTACATTTTCATATGTGCTTTGTTTTTGTTATTTTATTGCTGTTTTTTTCTAGACTTCCTGTTTGTGCATTGGCATTTTTGAGGGAGAGTACATCAATGGGAAGGGTTTTGCTGGTTTGTGTTTATATGATTATGTGTATTATTATTATTTTTTATCTTTTTTGTTGTTGTCTCTCCTTTCATTTGTTAGTTGGCACGCCTGTCTGTTTTCTCTCTTCTTCTTCTCTCTCTCCACATTCCTCTCATCCCCTTCTTCCTTTTTCTGTTCTTTTCCTTTTTCTTACCTCATTTTGCTTTCAGGGGTAAATCCATACCCCCACTGCATGGACAGATTGTAAGGCAGTGGGAAGTGGGTTGCCATGGGTCTACACACCAGTCAGTAGACACAGAGATCTGCAGATAGTTTCTGAATCACAGCTCCCCACACAATTAAATCCTACAACTGCAAAAACACAACCTCCGAACCACAGCCCAGCTCCAGAATTGAACAAAGCCAGGGGACCCACATAAGGAAGAATAGGAGACTGAGCAAACAGAAGTAAAAGCTATTCCCTCATCCCTGAACAACAGAATTAAAGAAGAGGTAAAAAAGGGGGTGGATCTATACAAATGAAGAAAAACCAAAAGAAGAATATGGGATTCACACAGATGCCTGGGAAGTCAGTCACTAAGAATACAGACTTCAGAACACAAACAATGAAGAGCCCCCAGAATGACTAGTCTCAAACCACAAACCCACATATCAAGACATTAATAAAGAGAATAAATAGAACTGAGGAGAGATAAGAGGAAAGAATGAAGGCATTGATAACTGAAATAACAGCAATAAAGAATACAGTGAATGAAATAAATAACAAACTGATAAGCATGGAAAGCAGAATTAACCAAGCAGAAGAAAGAATCTCAAAGTTTGAAGATCAAAATATGGAACTAACCCAAACTGTTAAAAACGCAGAAAAGAAGCTTTAAAAGAAACACAACAAAACCTCTGAGAGATGAGCAATTATTTCAAGAGGCCGAACCTAAGATTAATTGGAATTCCTGAGGCATATAGAGACAGAAAATACCCTGGAACAAAAATTCCAAAAAATTATCCAAGAAAACTTCCCTTATCTCATCAGTGACATGACCATTCAAACACAAGAGATTCAGAGAACACCTGCAAGACAACAAATGAGATGACCAACTCCTAAACACAAAGTAATTTGCCTACACAAAGTAGGTATAAAAGAAAAAATATAAAAGGCAGCAAGAGAAAAGGATCAGATTACCTACCAGGGAAGATTAATTAGAACAGCAGCAGAACTTATCTAAAGTAAACACTTCAAGCTAGGACAGCTTGGAGCCCAAACTTCAAAGTTCTCAAAGATAAATAATTTCAACTAAGAATTACCTATCCAGCTAAGTTAAGCTTCATCAGTGATGGAGAATTAAAATCCTTCACAGACATTCAATCCCTAAGAGCTTATGCTGCCTCCAGTCCAGTTCTATAAGAAACACTTAATAAAAAATATTAAACACAGAAGAAAGGAAAAAAAGAATGAAAATGGCTTTTTCAAGAATGCAGAAAAGAGATTGAAAACACACATGAATCAACTCCAAAACCAAGAGAGACAATAAATAAACAGCAGCAACAACAACAAACTCTATAAGAACCACATGACAGGGATAAACTCTCACATCTCAATAATTAGCCTGAATGTGAATGGACTACATGCACCACTAAAAAAGAGAATGGCAAAGTGGGTAAAATATCAAGAGGTAACAATATATTGTTTCCAAGAGACTCATCTCACCAGAAAGGACACTCACAGACTCAAAGTCAGAGGATGGGAAACAAAATTTCAGGGGAACAGAACACAAAAGAAAGCAGGAGTCACAATCTCAATATCAGACAAAATACTCTTAAAGCTATCAAAAATTTAAAAAGATATGGAAGGTCACTATATAATGATAAAAGGTTCAATCTATCAACAAGAAATATCTATCCTAAACATATATGCACCCAACATAGGCACACCAATTTTCATAAAGCAGCTTCTAGATAAACTTAAAAATGATACTGACTCTAACATTATTATAGCTGGGGACTTAAATACCCACTCACAATCCTCGACAGATCATTAATATAAAAAAATCAGCAAGGAGATCCGGAACCTCAACATGACACACCAATTTTCATAAAGCAGCTTCTAGATAAACTTAAAAATGATACTGACTCTAACATTATTATAGCTGGGGACTTAAATACCCACTCACAATCCTCGACAGATCATTAATATAAAAAAATCAGCAAGGAGATCCGGAACCTCAACATGACGCTTGACCAAATGGACTTAATTGATACCTACAAACACTCCACCCAACAACCATGGATATACATTCTCCTCATCACCACATGGAACATATGCTAAGATTGACCGCATTCTCGGCCATAAATCAAGCATAAACAAATTCCCTAAGACTGAAATATTACCATGCACCTTCTCAGACCACAGTGGAATAAAAATAAATATCAACACCAACAAAGTGCCCCAGAATGCACAAAGACATGAACACTAAACATAATGCTAAACAACTCCTGAGTTAACATGGAAATCAAAACAGAGAACAAAAGATATCTGGAAGCAAATGAAAATAGAGAAACATCTTACCAAAACCTCTTGGATGCAGTACGAAGAAGAGAATTCATATCTCTACGAACACACATGAAGAAAATGGAAAGATCACAAGTTAGCAGCCTAACAAGTCACCTAAGGGAGCTGGAAAAGCAAGACCACCAAAACCCTAACTTCACCAGAAGAATCCAGATCACCAAAATAGAAGCCCAAATTTGGGACATAGAAGACAAAAAGATAATAAAAAAAACCCAACGAAACAAAAAGCTGGTTCTTTGAAAGGACAAACAAGATTGATGGACCTCTAGGTAGACTGACCAAGAAAAAGAGAGAAAAGGCCCAAATAAACACAATCAGAAATACAAAAGATCAAATCACAACTGACCCTGAAGAAATTCAAAAGATTATCAGAGACTACTATGTACACTTGTATGGAAACAAACTCGAAAACCTAAAGGAAATGGAGGATTTTCTGACATCATACAACCTTCCCAGGTTGAAACAAGAAGAAATCGAAACCCTAAATAGACCAATAACAATCCAAGAAATTGACTGTGTCATAAGAAAACCTCGTACATAAAAAGTCCTGGACCAGACAGCTTTCCAGTAGACTTTTACAAAACATACAAGGAGGAACTGATACCAGTCATATTGAAAGTATTTCAGGCAATTGAGAAAAATGGAACTCTCGCCAAATCATTTTATGAAGCTAACATCACACTGACACCCAGACCAGGTAAAGATCCAAACAAAGAAAGAGAACTAAAGGTCAATATCCTTGATGAACACAGATGCTAAAATTCTCAACAAGATCCTAGCAAACCGGATCCAACAACACATCTCAAAAATCATCCACCATGATCAGGTAGGCTTCATCTCCGGGATGCAGGGCTGGTTTAACATTCACAAGACCATAAACATAATTAAATACATCAACAGATGTAAAAACAAAAACCACATGATTATATCATTAGATGTGGAAAAAGTTTTTGATAAAATCCAGCACCCTTTCTTCATAAAAACCTTGAACATCTAGGCATAGATGGAACATACCTCAAAATAGTAAATGCCATCTAAAAGAAACCCACAGCCAGCATACTGCCAAACAGACAGAAACTGGAACCATTTCTCTGAAAACCAGAACAAGACAAGGATCCCCACCCTCACCCCTCCTTTCCAACATAGTTTTGGAAGTCCTAGCTAGGGCAATCAGAGAAGAGAAGGCAATCAGGGGTATCCAAATAGGAAAAGAGGAAATCAAGTTATCCCTCTTTGCAGACGATGTGAGTGTGTGCCTCGAAAACCCAAGAGAATCTGTCAAAAACCTCCTTGCACTGATAAAGGACTTTGGCAAAGTCTCAGGGTATAAAATCAGTGTGCAAAAGACAGTCGCATTTCTATACACCAACAATAAACAAACAGAAACATAATTAAAAATCACAATCCCATTCACAACAAGTCACAAAAAAACCTGAAATACCTTGGCATCTTCCTAACCAGAGACCTGAAAGACATTTACAACGAAAACTAAAAAAAAAATCAAAGATGACACAAACAAATGGAAAAATATTCCATGCTCATGGATTAGGAAGAATCAACATTATTAAGATTTCCATCCTACTCAAGGCAATCTATAGATTTAACACAATACCCGTTAAATTACCAGCAGCATTCTTCTCAGACCTGGAAACGACAATACAGGAATTCATATGGAAACATAAACGACCACAAACAGCCAAAACAATCCTCAGCAAAAAAAAAAAAAAAAATCAAAGCAAGAGGTATCACAGTCCCAGACTTTACACTCTATTATAAAGCTACAATACAATAATCAAAACAGCCTGATATTGGTACAAGACCAAGCATATAGACCAATGGAATAGGATAGAGATTCCAAAAGCAAAACCTCAACCAACTCATCTTCGACAACACCTCCACCACCAACCACTGGGGAGAGGAGAACCTATTTAGTAAATGGTGTTGGGAAAACTGGCTGACCACATGCAGAAGATTAAAACAAGACCCCTACCTAACACCATACACAAAAATCAACTCAAAATGCATCAAAGACCTAAACGTAAACCTCAAACTATAGGGTTCTGAGAAAATGCAAGTGACACTCTTATGGAATTTGGAACTGGCAACCAATTACTGATCAAAACCCCAAATGCCCATACCATAAGAGATAAGATAGACAAGTGGGACCTCATCAAACCGACAAGCTTCTGCAAAGCCAAACAAACCATCAAGAGAGCAGGGAGACAGCCCACAGACTGGGAAAAAATATTTGCCACTGTATGTCTGACAAAGGCCTAACATCTAGGATCTACAAGGAATTCAAATGTGCCACAAAGAAAAAAACAAACAATTCCATTACAAAGCGGGCAAAAGATATGAATAGACACTTCTCAAAAGAAATATACAAGAGCCAACAGATACATAAAATGCTCAGTCTCACTAGTCATCAAAGAAATGCAAATTAAAACCACACTGATATACCACCTAACTCCAATCAGGATGACCATCATCAATAACTTAAAAAACAACAGATACTGGAGAGGATGCGGTGAAAAGGTAACACTTTTACACTGTTGGTGGGAGTGTAAACTAATACAATCTCTGGAAAACAGTTTGGCAATTCCTAAAAGTTCTAAAAGTCAATCTTCCATACAACCCTGCAATCTCCCTACTGGGTATATACCTGGAGGAACTCAAATCACTCTATGGAAAAGATACCTGCACACGTATGTTTATCAGCATTGTTCATAATAGCAAAAACATGGAACCAACTGTGCTGCCCATCAAAAGAGGACTGGACAAAAAAAAATGTAGTATATATACACTATGGAATATTACACAGCCATGAAGAAGGCAAAATTATGAACTTCACAGCAACCTGGAAGGACTTAAGAGTCTATAATACTGAGTACCTATCACAGAAACAAAGAACTGACTACCACATGTTCTCACTTATAAGCAGACCTTGAACAATTATTGTAATACCGTAAGAAAAGGATTGGCAATAGTGGAAACTGCCAGGGGAAGGTGGGGGTGGGATTGGCAGTAGTGGGAAACTGCCGGGGGAGGATGGGGCACACCTCATCAACAAGAGTACATGCATTATGAACATTTGTATACCTAACCCTGAATTGTACCCCACACCTTTAAAAGAATTAATTAATTAAATTTTTTAAAAAATAGGCCGGGCACAGTGGCTCAAGCCTGTAATCCTAGAACTTTGGGAGGCTGAGATGAGGGGATTGCCTGAGCCCACGGGTTCGAAAACAGCCTGGGTAACTTGACGAGATCTCATCTCCACAATAAATCAAAAAATTAGACAGACATGGTAGCGTGCACCTATAGTGACGGCTACTTGGAAGGCTGAGGCAGAAGGATTGCCTGAGCCCAGCAGGTTGACGCTGGGGTGGCCATGAGCGTGCCACTGCACTCCAGCCTGGGTGACAGAGTGAGACGCCAACTCAAAAGTTAATTAATTAATTAATTTAATTTAATTCAATTTATTTATTTTTTCTTGTGTCACTTGTGCTTTTGGTGTTATATCTAGGTCAGCTTTGCCTAATTTAAAGTCATAAAGATTTACTCCTATATTTTCTTATGAGTTTTATGGTTTTATAGGTATTTAATCCACTCTAAGTTCATTTAAACATATGATATAAGTATGGGTCCAATTTCATTTCTTTGCATGTGGATATCAAGTTGTCCTAGCACCATCTGTTGAAGACAATTCTTTCCTTACTGAATTATCTTTGGACTCTTGTTAAATAATAATCAATCATAAATGTAAGGGTCTCTTTCTGGATGTTCAATTATTTTCCATTGTTGATATGTCTATATTTATGCCATAACTACATTGTCTTAGGTACTATAGCTTTATAGTAAGTTTTGGTACTGAAAAGTGTAAGTCCTCCAACTTGGTTCTTTTTTTAAGATTGTTTTGGCTTTTGCGGTCCCTTGAATTTCCATCTAAATTTTAGATTCAACTTGTCAATTTGTGCCAAAAAATCAACTGGCTTTTTGACAGAGATTGTACTAAATAAGTAATGTGTTTTTTTAATGGGCTAAAATAAGCAAGAAAATAAGTCAATTGTATTGAAGGCCCAAAGAAATGGAATTTACCTATAGCTCTCCTAAAAATAGCATTCAAAGTCTGAATCACTGTCTATTGCGTAACCTTTCTGCTTTCCCAGAAAAATATATTCATCAAACAATTTAAGATTTTGAATATAAAATTCAGTCAGTAATTCTCACAATCTGATATCTAGGAGCAATAACATCTATTATGCTTACCATGCATCAACTCTTTAGACTTCATAAAGGAAAGAAGTATTTTCAACCTACCTTCCACAGGTTTTGTTATTATTCCAGTCACTCCACCAACAACTCCCTGAAATAGAAAATCAGTCATAAAGTCTTGACTTAATGGATGGTGTTTAATTTTGAACCAACCACTAGAGGTCTCTACAGACAAACTGGAAATAAATTTTTTTTTGGTTGAGAATTTGATAATGCAAACAACATACACATATGAGTGAGTACTCTGATTTTACAAATATTGTATCACAGCAAATTTTAAGTAAAAGCACCTTGCAAGAGTAAAATTTTATAACAGAAAGAGTAGTAAAGGTGAAAAAAAGGCGAAAAGATTTCAAATCTTACTATGGTTTCCATCAGCACGAGCAGTCAATTAAAGTCTCAGGTTCCACATTAGTAAATGAGTGAGTGGAGTCAAATAATCCCTAAGATCTCACTGTAAAGGTTAATGAGATGATTTTGTAATTTAGTGAAATTGCAGAAAAGTGAACATAAAGGGACCTACCCAAAATAGTTAAAAACCTGACAAAGAAAGCACCTCAAACACAGCACCCAACCTTACAGACCACTGTCACAAGCACAGCTGTTCAGAGTTCCCACAAACTATTTCCAAAATTAAAAAGTGAGTATATTAATAAATTCCTAATAATTGTCAAGTAATGGCAGTAACTAAAACTTCATGTACATTCTATAAACACACAGAGAGAATTGAAAGATACATACAAAACTGGGAAGATTAGATATCTCTGGAAAGCGGTGAGAGGTAATTAAAGAGTACTCTAGCCTTACCTGAAATGTTTTACTTACTTACTAACAGAAGAACTTGCAAGTTCTTATAATTACTTGCAAGAAGAGTAGTCATATATTATCTGTATAATTAAGTGCTATTCATATATTACCTACATAATTTTGGAAGTATTGAAAGGTGATGAAAAGCAGCTCTTGGTTCACCAACACTTCAGTTTCACACATGCCTTCCATAGAAAAGGTCAACTGCAACTGTTGACAACCTGGAGAGTTCCTCCCCCCTGGTGATGACCACACATCCCTGCTTCTCATGTTCTCGCCTTCTACACCAGTGCTAATCTGCTATCCTTAACAGCTCTACTTTAGCCTAAACACCAAACTAAGTCTGGCAATTTGGGGGATAGATATGTGGTGATAACGGGGAAGAAGAGCAAAGAGGAAACAGGAAGGTCCACAACTCATCATGATTGCTACGATGACAGAACGGGACTCCTTAAGTGGCACTCTGGGTTTCACATCACAAGCTAGAGTATTTTTTAAAGTGCATTGAAATGTTGAGAACTTCTTGAAGATTCAGCAGGAGACTTACTCGCAGGAGGCCCTTTCCTCCTCTGGCCAGGCTGTCTCCAAAATCTTTGGGTTGTCGACTCAACTCTTCTCTTCTTTTCTGCTGATATTCCTTGTCCATTGTAATGGCTGCCAAACCTTTCCCAACAGAACCGGTAATTCTAGACACAACTCCTGCTGCGCCACCTATCAAAAGACAAGGCATCAACACCCAGAACACACAAGGAACTCACACAACAGCAAAAAAAATCCGACTACAGAATGGCCAAAGGAGCAGAACAGACATCTCTCAAAAAACACACAAATGGACAACAAATGTATGAAAAAACACTCATCACTAATCATGAGGGAAATGCAAATCAAAACCACAATGGGCTATTATATAACCCCAGTTCAAATGGCTATAGTCAAAAAGATTAAAAAACACACACACACAAAAAAACCCATTGATGATAAGGAAGTGGAGAAAGGGTTTGGGTGGAAATATAGATCAGTAGAGCCATTATGGAAAACGGTATGAAGATTCTTCAAAAAACTAAAAATATAACTACCATATGATCCAACAATCCCACTACACTACTGGGTACATATCCAAAAGAAAGAAAATCAGTACACTTAAGAGATATTTGCACTCCCGTGTTTACTGAAACATTATTCACATAAGTCAAGATATGAAATTAACCTGTTTCCAACAACAGATGAATGTTTAAAGCAAATGTGGCATGCATACACAGCAGAATACTATTCAGGCATAAAAAAGAATGAGATTCTGTCATGTGTGGCCACACAGATGAGCCTGGAGGACATTATGTTAAGTAAAATAAGAATGGCACAGACAACAAATATTGCATGTTCTCACTCATATGTGAGAGCTAAAAAAAGTTGATCTCTTAGAAGTTAAGAGTGGAATTGTGGTTATTAGAGGCTGAGAAGGGAAAGAGGGGAGAAGAGGACAGGTAGAGATTGGTTAATGGACCCAAAATCATAACTAGATAGAAGAAATAAGTTCTAGTGTTCTACAGTATCACAGGATGACTACTGTTGCCGCCAACAGTTTAATGTGTATTTTTAAATAGCTAGAAGACAGGATTTTGAATTTTCCCAACACACAGTAATGATAAATGTTTGAGGTAATAGATATGCTAATTACCTTGATTTGATCATTACACATTGTACACATGTATCAAAATATCACTGTGTAGCCAGGCTCGGTGGCTCAGCCTGTAATCCCGCGCCTTTAGGAGATGAGGTGAGTGGATTGCCTGAGCCCGCAGGTTCGAGACCTACCTGGGCAGGCGAGACCTCATTATAAAACAAATCAAAAGATTAGCCGGGCGTGGTGGTACACGCCTGTAGTTCCAGCTACTTGGAAGGCTGAGGCAGAAGGATCGCTGGAGCCCGGCAAGTCGTGGCTGGGAGCAGCCACTGCACTCTAGTCTGGGCGACAGAGTGAGACTCCAACTCAAAAATTAATAAATAAAAAATCACTGTGTAGCCCACAAATATGTATAATTATTACATGTCAGTTGAAGTTAAAATAAATAAATGAAAATTTTAAAAGGCTCAGAGAAGTAAGCTGCATTGTTTCTTGAAACAGTTTTATTACAAGGTACAGCATGCAACTGCTTTAAACTAACGGGTGCTTACAATTCTGTCTCATACACAAAAATGCAGAAATTAATTTTTCCCATCTATCAAGAAGAATAAAACTATTTTAGGTATACTGATTCAACAATATGAAGGTATACAAAAAAAACTAGCAGGCCACTATTAACTTATTTTCCATTTAAAAACAAGAAAACATGTCTTTTAAAGAGGATTATTAGGAAAATAACCCCTCTTTTATTAACTGTAAGAATCTGTTTTTCATAACAACCCATTTTATATCAAAATAAAAATATATGCATATACACAAATATGTGTTACATACCTACTGTGTGTCCAAAAAGACTTCTTACTCCAATCACTAACCCCTCAGCAAATTCTTCAGGACCTTGAACAGCACCCTGGCCAAAACGAAAAGAAAAGTTTACATTTAAAATGTAAACTAGCCGGGTTCGCTGGTTCAGCCTGTAATCCCGTGCCTTTGGGAGGTTGAGGTGAGTGGACTGCCTGAGCCCGCAGGTTCGAGACCCGCCTGGGCAGAGAGACCTCATCTCTACAATAAATCAAAAAATCAGCCAGGCGTGGTAGCGCACGCCTGTAGTTCCAGCTACTCGGAAGGTTGAGGCAGAAGGATCGCTGGGGCAGCCAGCAGGTCGAGGCTGCGGTGGCCGGGAGCGGCCACTATACTCCAGTCTGGGCGACAGAGTGAGACTCCAACTCAAAAAAATAAATTAATTAAAATAAAATGTAAACAAAATGAAGACTTGGTATCTAGAATTGTGGTGTTTCCATGAAGATAAAGAATCTGGAAAGATCCATAGCCACTGCGATGAAACCATTTTCACCTTCTACCCCAAATATTAATACAATACCTATTGTGTTTGAGGCTACTTCAGCCCACATGATCTTAGCAAATTCTTTAAGACAAAAAATAGGATAGGTATAAATCACTGGCTTCCATCACTGTTTGAAGTGAGCCTTCCAGTACAAAGTTCCATCAGCCTGCTAAAGCAAGTTGCACTGGTAATAAGACTAAGTGTCCACACATTTTTGACTCTCTTGTTCTCCCACTTACTCTCTGTGCTTATTCTTCTAAAGCCTCATACATTGGGGTCCTAGACCTTTTAAGTAGAGGTTAAACAGGTTAGATGAAAGCTTGACTATGAAACAAAGTTTGCTTTTAATGCCTCATCAATCCTTTCTACAGTGGTGGAACAGCCTTGAAAGAGTCTTGATCTACCCAGCACTCCACATATCTTCAAAACTACATTAAATCCTGGAAAATGTGGGCATGTCTTATTGCCCAAATACTATAAGTACTCACTGAATGCTAAACAATTTTTCAGTGTCACCTCACATACATAAAAATGTAGAACTGATGAATTTCTGTTATTATATTTGAGTACTATTTAGCTCTCAGACACAATTAAAATACAAATTACTGTTTGTTACTAAAAAAACTAGAACAACCATTTTTCTGTACCTATCCTTAAAATAAATAAAAGCTCAATACCTGGAAAGGTTCATAGAATAAAGCTTCGACTCCTTCAGACAGACCTCTAATTAATCCAAATGGGTTTCCAAGCACATCTAAGCCCAATACAAGGACATACATCTGTTTCAAGAACTGTAGAAGAAAGAAAATTAAGTCCTTTACAACTGCTGTGAGAAAAAACATCATAATGAAATAGAAAAAAAAGGGGTTTGCTGATAAAATTAAGTTTGTGCTAAAAGAAAGCTGTATGGAATAACTACTACCACGTCCATTAATTAATCTTTCACCCTGTGCCAGGCACTATGATAATACTTTACACAGAACTTTCAAATTAGAACTAGGTTGGAGGCACAGTTTGCCATTTCGCAGTTATAAGATCTTGGACAACTCACTTAGTATCTATGAGCTTCAGTCTTCTCATCCATAAAATGGAAGTTTATACTGACCTGGCATGGGTGAGTCTGCATATTAAATGAATATATAATTCAGTAATTGTTAGTTGTTTTTATTAATATCTTATCATTAGTATTACTCTAAAGTAGACAGGGAATAGTACCAAAACAAATACAAGACAAAATATATCCTTATTTGAACATGCAATAACCATAATGTCTACACAATACCATAGAAGAAAAGATGTTCCAGCCTGGGAAGGCAAGGGAAACATCACCTGCAGTTCCATGGTACATCAAATGGTACCCAAGTGCTCTACGACAACGACTGTGTCTCTGGTGCATGCATACGTGAACAACGACTGTGTCTCTGGTGCATGCATACGTGAACAACGACTGTGTCTCTGGTGCATGCATACGTGAACAACGACTGTGTCTCTGGTGCATGCATACGTGAACCAAAGGGTAACTGAGGCATAGGGAGGAAGCTGGCTTAGAATTCCTTTTGCAATTCACTAGATTTCACTTAGAAGCCACATCACTTAAAGCAAATGCAATGACTAGGAAATCACTATTCTTTCCCAAAGTGCCAGAATCACAAAGGAAAAAAAGGAACAAAGGCAATGTTTTCAAAGGTGTATAGCCGGGCTCGGTGGCTCAGCCTGTAATCCCGCGCCTTTGGGAGGCTGAGGTGAGTGGATTGCCTGAGCCCGCGGGTTCGAGACCCACCTGGGCAGCGAGACCTCATCTCTACAATAAATTAAAAAAAAAAAAAAAAATCAGCCGGGCATGGTAGCATGCGCCTGTAGTTCTGGCTACTTGGAAGGCTGAGGCAGAAGGATCGCCGGAGCCCAGCAGGTCGAGGCTGCGGTGGCCAGAAGTGGCCACTGCACTCCAGTCTGGGCGACAGAGTGAGACTCCAACTCAAAAAAAAAAAAAAAAAGGTGTATAAAGGGGGAAGAACTACAGAAATAGAAATAATTATTAAAGAAAATCACTGAGTAGTAAGATTCTGAAGCAGGTAAATTGGATATACATTACTGCATACTGTACACAATCACATACAAAAGTTTTGTTTTGATTTTTTATAAAGTATATTCCTTATGAACAACTATGATAGAAAATTACCTGTTCACTGTAATGCCTAACAACACTCCACATGAGCTGATCTCTGTTGTAAAATTGATATCGAATTTCATAATAAGCAAGTCTGGAGGAGTGAAAGAGAAGATTCAAAGAAACAGATTATGTGATAAAAACGGGGACTTATTTCAATTTCAATGACAGCTAATTCTAATCATAGCTAATACTCTGACAATTCACTTTGTACATCTGTCGCATACAATTTATATATCTTAACATATTTATCTTAATATTATGTTAACTAAATTATTGTAAAAACAGTGCAGTGGCACAATCACAGCTCACTGCAGCCTCAATAAACACATAAAGAGTAAGTCAACCATAATCTCACCATATAGTGGATTCTTAAGTTTTTTCCTCTGATTTCCCCCTTTGAATTATTTCTTTTTTATGCAATTATAAAATGTTTGAAACATCTTGAATGTCATCGTTATAATACATTCAACATTGTGGAGGAGTATTTCTATATGTTATTTAAAATTCTACATAACCATTTTTAATGCATTCACAGCATTCCATCGTGTGGTAGTGTCATCAAAAACACTTCTACCACTAAATATTTAAAATTTTTGGTATAATAATTAATGATGTTGTGTGTATACTGAATATAACTCTTTGGCTAAATTTCAAGATTGCTTTTGGAAAGAATTCCCAAAAAGCATTACTGAGTGAAGGACAACAAAAACACTTAAGACTTTGAGACATACAGTTTGCCACTTATACTAACAGTATAAAATAAGTGCCCAATTCTCTACTTAGTACTAAGACTGCTCATATTTTAAATTCTTTGATAATTTGCTTTAATTTACATGTTTTATTTGATAAATAATAATGTTGAACATTTCAACTATCCATCATCTACTGTGTCTTCCCTTTTGTGAATAATCTTCAATCCATCTGGTCACCAAAACATTGAAATCTTTAGGGTTTTCTTATTAAAATTTAATATGAAGACTACTGATCCTCTTTCTGCTATATCTGTCATTATATTTTCCTAGTTATTTGTTTTCTAATTGATTTGTTATAAAGTGTTTAATTTTTAGGTAGTCAAATGTATCCTGTATTTTCCACTGGAATTTTTCCCATTGCTTTTAAACTGAAGAGATTTAACAGAAATTAAACTCTTTTATCTTTTCAGATTGAATTTTATATTTTATCCTTATTTTCTCTGAGACTGAGTGATGTCAATGTGAGGTGAAAATGATATAAATAAATGTATTTTCCTTTCAGGTAATATAATTACTTGTTCCAATTCCATTGTTTGTGTGTGTGTTTGAGTCAGGGTCGCCAAGGCTGGAGAGCAGTGGCATGATTACAACAATCATGGCTCATAGCAGCCTCCTGGGTTCAGGACATCCTTCTACCTCAGCATCCTGATTGGCTGGGACTACAGGTGCGTGCCAACACACTCAGCTAGTTATTTCTCTTTTTTTTTTTTTGTAGAGACGAGGTTTTGCTATGTTGCCCAGGCTGGTCTCAAACTCCCGGGTTCAAGAAATTCACCTGCCTCACCCTCCCAAAATGCTGAGATTACAGGCACGAGGTCAAAGCGCTGAGATTACAGGCATAAGGCCACCGCACCTGACCCCTTTGTTGAATACTCAATTCAATAAGCATTTATTTAATTTATATTTATCTGACACATACAAATACTCTCATATTAAATGTAGCAAGGAGTTCTTATTAGCTATATTTTGCCATATGATTATACTAAAATCTCACCCTATTGCTACATGTTTATAAATATAATTTTGTAGCATTGTAAATTTATAATATACAACTACAAAATTCCATTTTTATTCTACATTCATGTATTATCTAAATATGAGTAGCCAAAGAAAATATATGGCTCTTTACCTTATCATTATGAATAAAATAAGCATACCTAAAGAGTATGATCAGAAATAGACCAAATTCTTCAATTGTGAGTAGTAAGAGTTATCATTTTTCTAAGCTAACATCACACAAATGGAGAGATTTAATATCCAGAGACATGACCTTGTATACCTGTTTCCCAGTGTATTCTAACAGAAGTCTTACTTGAATATAAGATCATCCACATCAGTCAAAGTCGCACCAATGCTTTTCAACAGCAGGTTGACAGAATGAATTGCAATCATCTCCTGTTTTTCTTTGTCTGATTCTTCACCTCCAGAACCCAAAGACAGACTCAAATGCAGCTAAAAAATAAGATTCAGTAAATGAAAATGAAAAATGAAAAATGTACATACAGAGGAAGCAGGTTTTTCAGATACAAAAAACAAATTTTTCTTACAATTAGGGTCCTAGTAAAAACTATTATTTAACACTATACATTATATAAATAACCCACTTATATTAGACTCTATACTTTTTGATAAAATACAAATTAGTGTGTTTCAAAAACAGAGCTCTAATTTTATTCAAAGCTTGTAAGAACTATTGTGTTCATATAGAGACCAACACACTTTATAAAAAGGCAGAATCTTTTTTTAACTTTTTATTTTTATTTGTTTTTGAGTCGGAGTCTCACTGTCACCCAGGCTGGAGTGCAGTAGCATGCCCATGGCCTCCACAGTCTCGACCTGCTGGGCTCAGGTATCCTTCTGCCTCAGCCTTCCAAGGAGCTGGAGTTACAGGCATGCGCCACCACACCTGGCTGATTTTCCTTGATTTATTGTAGAGACAAGGTCTCACCATGTTGCCCAGGCTGGTCTCGAACCCATGGGCCCAGGCAATCCTCTCGCCTCGACCTCCCAAAGTGCATGAGCCACCACTCCCAGCTGGTAAAATCAATTTAAGCAGAAAAACATGTCAACTGACAGACAAGTAATCTACCTATCCAAATAATAGGTAATCACTTATTTTTATCCAATTAAGGTAAATCATTTGTGGCAACAAATAATAACAATGATGTTATAATTATGCCATCATAAAAACTAAAAATAACAATAGCTTGCCAATTAAGGCAACCCTTAGCAAGTTGCCAAATAAATATTTAAAAGAGTAATAAGGTCTTCAGCTCATACAGACCCTACAGCTCAGTTTCTCATGTAGCCACTTCTTTGTGCTGCACCGTCATTAGTACAATAGAACAAGAGGTAATCAGCACGTGTCAAACACTCTCCTTTCTCATGGTATAGGATTATTGCCTAACCAACACATAGCTCAAGGAAAGTAGACTTGGGACAAGATTAGGAGAGCCTGGTTGTTGATGTGGACTTCTGCCTGTGTGCAGAATCTGGGAGTGCTGGAACCCAGAAAAGGAAAGCACAGGTAGAAAGACACCCAGCCTTTCCCTAGGGCGAAGCCACCTAAGAAAACAACAATAATTAAGAAAGTGATTGTGGTTCATGATCTTTGTTATTTGACTTCATGGCACAATTCCCAGTGTGCCAAAGAACATGAATAGGTAAATTATCAATCTTTAATATCTTCAATTATAAATGCCATGAAGTAATTTTGTATCTCCACAGCAACCTGGAGAACAGGCATTCAATAAATATTTGTTGAAGGTATTGTTCAATTCCACGAAAACAAATGATTTTCACTTAATGATGAGAAATAAATTATGTACAACCTATCATATAATCAGTATCAATTTTACACCTGACACTAAGGATATGTCTGATATCACCAAACTAATACAACAATTTAAAATAATTCAATTTTATAAACCCATTCATTTTAGCTGAATGGACAAGGAAATTCCATTGAAAATAATGTGCTGTAAATAGTTTTTGAGACTGTAAAGGATCATCAATATTTTCAAGAGTTACTTAATTATATATCTGGCCATTACACAAGTTTAGAGCATTATGCTTGATAGCATCTGTGAATTTACTAAGCAGTCATCTTTTCCTGCAAAAGCTAAAAAGAACAACAAAAGGGGAAATAAAACAGGTTCATAAAGTACAAAATCAGGCAAGTGAAAGGTATCCAATTTTCCACTCCGTTAGTTACAATCAAATTTTGGAAGGGGGAAAAACATCACATCAACAGTATAATACCTACTTCAGCGTTTTCACATTCTAGTTAGGGCACCCATTATAGCTTTCTGTTTCAACAGTGAGAATAGTTACAAAGTGCAACCAAAACATTAAATGTTGGCAAGCACTTCTACGCTTAATTAAGAAATGCTTTTGTCAGCTTCTTCCTTGAATAAAGGGGTTATTAATTCAAGACTAGAGAACATGCTCTAGCAGTTTCTCTGTGGGGATTATGGCTATACATATGTTACAGAGAATTGCCTTAATTATTTCGATTAATCAAACAAAATTCATGCCAAATAAGTGATACAACACATTAAATTTTATACAGACTCTTGAAAAGTTCTGCAATAATTACACTAAATGTTCAAAATAATAATGATAACAAACCTTAACAGGAGAAATATGGAAATGTTCAAAGAAACTTAGAATTGACATGTCGGTCATGGAAGTCTCCATCAATTCTGTGTTTAGAGCATCAATATCTTGCTGAATTAACTTAGTCTGAAAAAAATTAAATCAAGAATTTCTATTTTAATTTTTTTCTCTACTTCAATGAGTTCCCAAAAGGCTGATTTAAATTTTATATATTTCCCCAAGAGATAAAAATGTTACCCGTCTTCTTTCAGCTTCCGGGTCAGATGTTGGGGTAAACAGTGCAACAATAGCTCCTAGAAACCCTTGATCAACTTTTAAGGCCATCTCCTGAATGAGGACCATAAAATATCTAGGGAAAAAAATGTTTTTAAAGGTGATAAAGGATTTCTATCAAGCCTTTCCATTTTCAATGTTAAAACTTTGATTTTAATCAAAAGCCACAGTGAGATCTTGTTCCTTTACCTCTCAAAAATTATGCTAATAAGACCAAAGTCTACTTACACTGAGATTTTTCACTACAGTGAAAACTTCATTCAAGATAATAGTGTGGTATTAACCCTCAGCATTTAAAGTTCCAAATGTTCACATTTATCATGTCACAAAAGAGACAAATACAATTAGATGACATCACATGTATTATCCAGTGTTTAAAGTTCACAGCAAATGCACTAAATAATACAGCTCAAAAATACATATATCATTTATAGTTTACTTACGATTTTATATTTTAATTTGAGATATAAAGAGGGGAAGGTGGCTGTAGGAATTCTACACTTCAACACATGTTCTGACTAGACTATTAGTAAAATAAGTTGAAGCATAAAAGATGACTTCACCAAAAGTAGATTAATAGGTTCAATTGAAAAATAATTTTAGCCAGGTTTGGTGGCTCAGCCTGTAATCCCGCACGTTGGGAGGCTGAGGTGAGTGGAGACCTGCCCGGGCAACTTAGTGAGACATCATCTCTACAATAAATCAAAAAATTAGCCGGGCATGGTAGCGCGTGCGCCTGTAGTTCCAGCTACTTGGAAGGCTGAGGCAGAAGGATCAACAGAGACCAGAAGGTCGAGGCTGCGGTGGCCAGGAGCGTGCCACTGCACTCCAGTCTGGGTGACAGAGTAAGACTTCAACACAAAAAAAAAAAGAAAAAGAAAAAGAATTTTATATAAGTCACTTTCAAAAATAATAAAGTTCATTTACAAAGTGGATTCTCATCTTAAATTCCTTTAGACAAACAGTGGGCAGGAATCTTTACTTACTTGAACTGTAAGACTTTACTGTACTCATTAAATCTCGTAATGACACTCACATCAATGAAGGGTTTGGGCTCTAAGAGGAAGAAGGAATACAAGCAAAAAAATAACGTTTTATACTAGGTCAAACTAATATTTGTCTAATTTTCATAAGCAAGTTATGTCCATACCTCAGCTTTATATTTGCTTTTTACCTGAATCCAAAGCTATAGATTTTGGAGGGGCGACAGGGTGAAAAGCTACAGGGAACACTGCACCTGGTAACTGGTCATCAACCTGAAAAGCAAGAAAGCCAACTCAGCAGGGTTCAAAATAAGCTGTGAATCAATGGGATATGTGGAAAATGGGGAAAACTCATCCAAACAAAAAGATACCAATTACAAACTACAACCTTATAAAAAAGAAATTTCATTCTCAAGATTCCCAAGGTGATGGCAAATATCTATTTAATTGAGAATGGCAATCTTACCTGAAGCCAATACAACCTGGCCCTTAAACTTCTCTGGTGAGGAGACTGCTTAAATTCAATCTGAATTCCTGATAAAAAATCTCGTTTAATAGGGCACCGAATAGGGAGGCGCATTTCCATCGGCACTTTACCAAAATTGACCTGGGGAAAAAAAGCTGGTATTAGTACAGTAACTATTCCATTTTAAATTTCTGTTCACTGATCAAACTAAAAGAAAAAAAATAACTTTATCTCTGTGTCTCACCAAAAGATCTATCTTGGCCAAGCATAACAGCTCATACTTGTAATCCCAGCACCTTGGGAGGCTGAGACAGGACGATTTCTTAAATCCAGAAGGTCGAGACCAGATAGACAGCAGAGGAAGACCTTGTCTCCACAAAAAATAGAAAAATTAGCCAAGCATGGTGCTGTGTACCTGTAGTCCCAGCCACAGGAGGCTGAGGCAGAAGGATCACCTGAGCCGAGGAGGTTGAGGCTGCAGAGAGCTGTGATTGAGCCACTGCACTCCTGCTTGGACCACAAAGCAAGACTCAAAAAAAAAAAAAATCTGTCTTAAAGTGATCTGCAGTTGAGATCTTTGAAGCAGATGCACCACTTTTCTAACAAAGGCTTCAGAAAAACAAGGAAATTACAGAGGCTGTACTTTTTTAAAAAATGCTTTATATAAAAAGTTTCAATACTGGTAGATAATACCAGATCATTCTTAAACAACTGTTTTATTATGAATATTTAACAGCTTACTTACTTCTGATACTAATTGTATAGTTTGTTTGTTTGTTTTCATTTAAATATGGCCAACGTTAATGGAGGTGGGTGGGGAACATAACCGGTGACCAGCGCAAACTGAACCATCAGACACCAGGGACAAAGAGGAACCAAACCGTATAATTAAACCAGAACAAGCTGGAAACTGCAGTTAAGCTTCTGAAGACTTCCTGGAGCAAAGGTGACTTTTAGTTTGAACTATGTAAAGCAACACCACATACAGCACACCTTTATTTATGGATGCCTACTCATATCCAACAGTCATTCACATCTAATGAATTTACTTGAGCAGGCTTTTGTAGGTTTTTCATCAATGGAATATATCATTTTACACAGTCTTCATTTAGCAATATATACTGATGTTATTCAAAATATACAATAAAAAGTTTCTGTAAGTAATCTTAACTTCTCCATAATCTCACTAAAAACAAAACAATTTTTGGCCGGGCTCGGTGGCTCAGCCTTTGGGAGGCCAAGGTGAATGGATTGCCTGAGCCCGCACGTTTGAGAACCGCCTGGGAAACTTGGCGAGACCTCGTCTCTACAATAAATCAAAAAAATTAGCCGGGCGTGGGAGCGCGCGCTTGTAGTTCCAGCTACTTGGATGGCTGAGGCGGAAGGATCGCCGGAGCCCAGCAGGTCGAGGCTCCGGTGGCCGGGAGCAGCCACTGCACTCCAGTCTGGGCGACAGAGTGAGATTTCAACTCAAAAACAAAACAGAACAAAACAAACAAAACAATTTTCATGGAAGTATCTGATCTGTAAATAGAACAAATTATAAAAATGCAGAAGAGAGACAGTTTCATATCCTGTCTCATATAGCATGTGACTAAAATTTTACTAATATGTATCATTAGTCACGCCACTCCTATTAATAAATATGAGCTTATTAACTAATAAATAAATTAGTTTCTACACACATCTTTACTTAGGCATTCAAATTTTACTACCACCATCACCAACAACAAAACATCATATAAAAATCAAAACAAAAACATGCTAATATACCTCAAAATTACTGTCCAGTTTAATCCAGCCATGGTCTTTTGACATTTGATATTTCTGATAGGATTGTTCCAATAAGATTATCTGCTTCTGACTAAATGGCTTCCATTTCTGTTTTGGTTTCATCTCCCAGACAACACCAGAACTAAAATAATTCACAGGGAAAATAAATAAGGAATACATATTTAGGTTTGGGGAACTTTTATTCAATTGCAGGTTAAATAACTTTCAATCTCCTATGAAAATCATATAGATACAAGATATTTTTTTAAATTGCAAATTATATTTCTGTTGGAAAAGTACATACAAAGGGAGGGCAAGGAAAACATATTTTTTCTATCATACTTTGACATCAATCAATTAAGGGATTAGCAAACGTTTTCTACAAAGGGCCAAGCAGTAAATATTCTAGGCTTTGTGAGCTGAGACAAAATCAAGGTTATTACATAGGCACTCAGATACAAAAGAGAAAAAAAACTTCTACAGATTTCCAATTGATAAAATTTAACATATAAAATAAAAATGGAGTGCAATTTTTAAAAACCCAAGTCTATTAATGAGAAAAACAAACTTCTTTCGTGGGGAAAAAAATTCCACCTAATTGTGTTACTCATTGTCAAAAACGATTTCGCATGTTCACCTAACAATGTTGATTTGTAATAAGCATTTTTAAAACTGTTTCACATAGACAGACACAGTCAAATACTGACATCAACCTATGTAAATTTACTATTTTAATTGCACATATATGTGGCGTGGAAGGCATTTACAAAATTCTGTTAAACTCTTCTCTAGATAATTGTCTTTCAGCATATCAATACTTTGCAGATCAATCACTTCCAAATGAAAGTTAAGCGGAAGTTCCTCAATTTGCACAAATGAATCTTGAAATGTGGCGATTTCCTTTGTACTTGCATTGAGGTTGGCAAATATGTTGCTGGAACTGAAGGTGCAGGTCATAAAATATATCCTTCTCCAGGTATGTGAGAGAGTGGCAGTCTGGCTTTTTGTTTTAACTAACTTTGGACAGACAGGAAGTATATAATAAAAACTTAAACATAAGTTATCATCAAAATGACCTTACTGCAGTGTAAGTTTTGCATGTAAGCACTGCACATAAGCCTTCTAATTTTAGCTTGAAATTTACGAAGAAACTATCAATTCTGCAGCAAAAGCTAATATTCAAAGCCACTGAGTGTTCAATAAGAGTAGTTGAGGGTGGCTCTTTTTGCTAAAAAAAAAATTTATTCTTGGCCCAGAACTGAAAGAGTGCAATAAAAGGTTATCACAGCTAAGCCTTCAAACTACTGTGTGGTAAGACAAATCAGGACATTCAGCTTCTATTTCTGACAAAAATTTACAGAACTGATGATGGTTAACTCCACAAGACTAAATAAAGTCCTCTGACTACCGGTTTGGTAACACAAGATAGATTCAAATATTTTCCACTAAGTAACCTGCTGACAACTAATACAACAGACTTTAAATGCTTTATATATTCACAAGTTTTGTGAATTTGTTTAACTAAGTCTTTTTCTGCTTCACACATAATTTTCCCATAATCAGTTGTAATACATCTTAGGAGATCCCACTTCAGGATATACTAAATTAGCATTTCTTCAACCTCTTTAAAAATCTTCCTGCCTGTAGTTGTCTACAATAAATAAATAATAATTTTACAATAAATAAATAAAATAGGCAGACTATTTACAGAAGTAAATTCTTCAATCACTTCACACTCAGCACCAACTTACCAAATATATAACTGAGAAGTGATGGTAACATCTGTTGACTCATCAAGAGTCAAGGAAAACAACTGTTTTTTTAAATTGACTACTGATGTTGCTCTGAATGTCCTCAATTCTTTAAGCAACTGTTCTCACTGAAAGGCTAATAGTCTTAAACAAGTTCATTTTCTCTGGACACATTTCTTTAGCTGCTGCAATCAGACATGATTCAATGAACTCACTATTGGTAAAAGCTTTCCTTGCTTGGCTAGCAAATGAGTGACTCAGAAACTTTGTTTGTAGCCTCCATATTGTTTTTTATTTTTGTGAAGTAATTCTGTGTGAGAAAATATTTTGCATTAAACTTGCTAATTTTTCTGACCATTGTTTTCCTGTGATTTGGGAATGCTGTGATGAGTGCTTAGTTTGGAAATGTCAACATATATTGTATTATTTTAGCACAGATATAGTTTCATTCCATAATAAAATAATGCTCTGCCATTTAATATGAGGTCATTCACACTCCATTATGCCCTAAAAAAGTGACAATCAAAAAGTCCTCTTTTCTCTTGTTATGATATGATGGACATATATTAGTAATGAAAAAAGCTGCAATACAGCCATCTGCATGACACATACAGTGATTTGTAGCACATGAGTCACAGTGATATAAGAGAATAAAAATAGCTGTGTTCCAACAAAACATTACCTCTGAAGAACAAACTCTGAATTTCATAATTTTCATGTATTACAATATATATTCTTTTGTTTTTGAAACTATTTAAAAATGTAAAAAATGATTCTTACATCAGAAGCTGTACAAAAACAGGAAGTGGGCTAAATCTGGCTTACATAGGCCATACTTTGTTGATACCTGAATTAGAGAGTACTGACTGCATAATAGATTACATACATTTATAGAATAATAAAATACAAATGCATAATGTTTTAATTTATATAGCTTGCTGATATTAGTCAAAGTATTAACAATGTGTTTGGGGATACCAGTCAAAGGAGGTATTTAATAAAATATCTACTGTAGATTACATAAACTCAACACCTATTCATGATAAAATTCTGAGGAACTTAAAGGGGAACTTCCTCAACTTGATAAAGGGCATCCACAAACACCTATAGCGAGTGTCATACTTCATGGTGAGAAGTTAGACGCTTTCCTCCTAAGACCAGTAGAAAGTCAAGTATGTCCACTCTCAGTGACTCCCATTCAGCATTGTACTACAAGTTCCAGATAATGCAGTAAGAAAAGAAAATTGAGAAGGAAGAAATAAAGTATCTTTGTTCACACATGACATGATTGTCTACACAGAAAATCCCAAAGAATCAACAAAGAATATTCTGTAACTAATAAGCAATTATAGCAAGATTGCAAGATATAACGTTAATAAGCAAGTCAACTGCTTTCTTCTGTGCCAGCAATAAACAATTGGCATTTGAAATAAAAGACAAAAGACAGGCATGGTGGCTCACGCTTATAATCCCAGTACTTTGGGAAGCTGAGGTGAGAGGATTCCTGAGCCCACGGATTTGAGACCAGCTTGGGAAACTTGGCAAGACCTCATCTCTACAATAAATAAATTTTTTTTAAAAATTAGCCAGGCTTGGTGGCGTGTACCTGTAGTTCCAGCTACTTGGAAGGCTACGGTAGAAGAGTCACCTGAGCCCAGCAGGTCAAGGCTGTGGTGGCCATGAGCATGCCACTGCACTCCAGCCTGGGCAACAGAGTGAGAGACCTCAACTCAAAAATAAAAGAATAATAAAATAAAATAAAAAACATAATACCACTTACTTTAGCATCTAAGAAATGAAATAGATATAAACAAAATCTATATGAGGAAAACCACAAAAGAATGATGAAAGAAATCAGATATCCATGTACATGGGGCATGAAGACTCAGCATTTTTAAGGTGTCAGTTCTTCCCAAGTTAATTGATAGATTCAATGCAATCCCAATCAAAATCCCAGTGAAGTATTTTGTGGATACCAACAAACTGATTATAGGTATATATAAAAAGCAAAAGAGCCAATAAAATATTGGAGGAGAAAACAAAACTGGAAGACTGATACTACCCAACTGAAATATGTACTATAAAATCACCATACATAAACTATCAAATTTAGATAACAATAATGTAGTATCAATATTAGCTCATCAACAGTAACAAATGTACCACACTATTGCAAGATGTTAATGATAGGGGAAATCACTGTGGGTATATGGAAATTATATTTTATGCTCAATTTTCTCTAGACCTATAACTGCTCGAAAAAGTAAAAGACTATCTGTAAAAATTATGTAACTGAATTTTCTTTTAAAGTCTAGATTTTATTGAGTATGTACCAAGTCATAAAAAGGTAAGAAGTTCTTTTAGATGAATTTTTTACATGTCCTTATAAGTAAAGTCAAACCTGACAAAATCTAGTATCTTACATAACATTAAAGTAAAAAGAAGTTATAGCAAATAAAAAACAAGAGAAAACTGGATCTGTATGACTAAAAATGATGTTCACATTGTTTAAAAATACTATATAATACTAAAATGTATAATCAGGAAAGTATGTTACTTAGATACACATAAATATATTAATACTCTATTAGTGGTACCATGCATGATACTATTAAAATAATCCTTGAATTGTCAGGTGTTGTGTGAAGTATATTACATACATAATCTCTTCATTCATTTAATTTTCTCCTCAATTTGCTTTTACTCCCCTAAACACATGAGTACTGACAGATCCTATACTGGTTACATCCGGTATCATGTTCATCATTCCACCTATCAACCTCCAAAAAAGAATGAGTCTTTTACGAAAGTAAGTGTGATTTTAAAAATCAAATACTCAATATTTTCCTTACACAAGCATAAACTAGAGAAAATAACTGGCCCACAAGTGTTACAATGAACACCCATTAAGGATTATGTATTCATCAAATACTGCCTCCTTTATGAAGCTTTTTTTCCAGTTTACTTCTATTGGTTTCCTCTGACTCATGCCAGCTTCTCTAACCTCTACTACACAAATTAGTCACTGATACCTCCATATTTCCAGTGCACATGCATGTCCTTCTTGGTAGCATTTCTCAGTGTTTGTGTAGGTCATTTTTAAAAACACCTACAAACAAGAAGTAAACCACTTTCTTCCTTACCAACTGACTATGAGTATTTTGAAGGCAAAGACAATTATCTTAGTCATCTTTTTATCCTTGGGAATTTTCAACTAGCAGTTCAAACAATCATTTAATAAGCTGTAGAATAGACATACAGCATATCAAATTCAGACCAGGTATCTTTTTACTTTTGTCAAACTGGATATAATGAATTCAATACCATTTAGAGGTCTCTGATGCCTTATTTCCTTCTTACATACCTGGTTATGCCAATATATGAAACCTCCTGCTTGCTTTCATTGTTAACTAGGGAAAGCCCAAGACTGTGGAGAGACAAGATTATTTCATGATCGGCTTGTTCCATTTCTTCTGCCTGCAGTGCTTTGGAAACCAAGGCAACATCATCAGTGAAAAGTAAAACTCTCTGGCGCCCATCTAAAAATGATACCCAGTGTATCTGGATGTTTGCATCATACGGAAACTGTCCACATTCATCCTGGAAAAAATAAAGACTTTTCATTAAACCCACACATAGTAAGTTTTTATTACATAAAGTTGAGCTACAGCAACTGAGAAAGACTAGAAATAACTACTGAATTAGTATTCAAATTGTTGAATTAAGAATTAAATTATAAATTAATAATACATTTCTCTTAATGTTGTGCTTAACAAAAATATAACAGCAGTTCATTTCCACAAGCAGTAAAAGTAGCTACTATGTACTTTTCATCTCATCCTTACTTGGGAAAAACGAAAAACAAATAGAGAATGTTGCCAAGAGCACAGGAATAATTGAACGTAGTGATTTAAAATTTACTATTACTTTTAAGGTATATTATATGGTCAAAGTAGCCTGGTCCAATTCTTTTTACTCTAATATGCAACCACATTTTCAGAGATACTTATTAAAAAGGTGAACTCTCTTTCCGTAAAGTACATAATGTGGTATGTATCTTAGTTCAATCTGAGTTATTATTCTAACATTCTCTGACCTTATTTGTTTTACATCTATTTGATCTGTTAAAATTAAATGAGGGCATTAAAATATCCCCCAAATAATTATGTTTCCATTAGTTTCCAGCATTTTAAGTTTTATGTGTTGACATGGTGTTACTCATTGCATGAAGGTTTATGGTCATCTCCTTCTTTGTCACATTATCATAATCTATTTAATGGTTTTGCTTTGAATTGTAATTGGTCAGAAATTAAACAGAAAGAGTAACATCATCAAAATGGCAGAGTAGAAGCAACGTGGCTTCCCTCTTACCCCAAAGAACACAAAACACAACTATTCACTGCTAAGATCATCACCAGCAACATACCAAAACTTAAACCTGAGGTTAAGACAATCCACAGGGCCACAGAGAGGTGAAAAACTCCAAGCAGATGCTAAGAGAAACAACTTCTTTACCCTTGATGCCACTCACCCAACCTGCCAGGCACCATATGTAGAAAATTCCTCCTGTGATTATGATTTCTGTATCGGAAAAGGTGAGATAGAGGTGGACAGCCAGCTCCCATCATTTTGGGTTCCCTTGCAGGAAAACAATTACTGCCTTAACCCATGGGAAGCATTGCAAGTACATGTAGGAAGAAAAACCCATGGAGAAGCTAGAGACAAAGAGAGGAAGCAGGCAAAACAAAACTCAGCCCAGAAACTCTGCTTGTTATCTCAGCCAAAGGAGGTGCTAGTTTAGAATGGCTGTTCAACAGCATCATGTGGGAGGTACAGTCCATGGGTCTTCTGGGTACAAATCTCTAGAAAGTCTCTCACACAGTTGGAGTATCCTTTTGGGACCCCTCTGACTGCTGGGGACAGGCACTATGCCAAACGTTTCCAAGAGTGGAGGTAAACCAGAGCTTATGACACCATCTAGTGCTGAATAGGAAGCAGTAATCTAGGGAAAAAGAAACCCACAAACAACTGCAAAAGCAAACACACCTTAGAAAGACCAAAACAAGCCGGAGAGCAAACACTGGAATAAATAACTAATCCTTCAAGGTGAAGTCACAGACATGGAGCCACAAAAAAACAAAAGCAAACAGGGAACCATGGCCTCCTTAAATGAACAAAGCAAAAAGCCAGTGAAGTGACTGACCGTAATAAGACAGCCATGTTTGAGCTCCCAGATTAAGAATTCAAAGTAGAAATTCTAAGAAAAATCAGTCAAATTCAAGATAACAAAGAAAAACAAGATAAATCAGATAAACTGAAAGAGACTGAAATAATTTTAAAAATTAAACAGAATGTTGGAGCTGAGAAATACATTTGTTGAACTTAAAAATATATTAGAGGCAATCAGTAGCAGACTAGATTAAACAGAGGAAGGAATCAATTAGTTGTAAGCCAGGCTACTGAAAAATAGAAGAGAAAAAAATAATTAAAAGGAACAAAGATTGCCTGCAAATATAGAGAATAACTTCAAAAGACCAAATCTAAGCATCACTGGCAGTCCAGAGTTGAGAAAGAGGAGGAGCAGAAAGTTTATTCAAATAAATAATAACAAAAGCTTTCCACACTTGGAAAAAGACAGAAATACCCAAGTACAGAAAAGTCAGAGATCATCCAACAAATTCAACCCAAATCAGACTACTCCAAGGCCTATAATAACCAAACTCTTGAAGGTCAAGGCCAAAAAGGGGCCCTAAAAGCAGCAAGAAAAAAAATAATAACATATAAAGAAGCTGTAATTTAGTTGGCAACAGATTTCTCAGTGGAAACCATGCTCTGCAGGAAGCAGTAAGAAGACATATTCTAAGGGCCAAAAGGGAAAAAATAGCCTGCCAACCAAGAATATTCAAAAAAGCTTTTCTTCAAACATGCAAGAGAGAGAAACTCTACCTCCAGAAAAACAAAAGCTAAGGGAATCCACTACCTCTGGAAATACCTTGCAAAAACTGTTAAAGGAAATTCTTCAGTCTGAAAGGCAAATATTAACATGCAAAAAAACCCCTGAAAGTATAGAACTCACTGGTAAAAGTAACCACACAGACAAATTCAGAATACTCTAATACTATAATTGTAGTGTGTAATCCACTTCTATTATCTATAGTATAAAGACTACAAGGTAAATCTATCAAAAATAATAATAATTACAGCAACTTGCTAAAAGACAGGCAACATAAAAAGATATAAGCTGAGATAACAAAGAGTCAAGATATAGGAAAATAGAATTAAAGTGTAGTTTTTTAGTTTTTCACTTGTTTATTTTGTGATCAAAGTTAAGTTGTCATCTGTTTAAAATAATGCATTATATCTATAAGGTGTTTTCTGTAATTCTCATGGTAACCATAAAGCAAAAGCCTGTAAGTACACTAAAAATATAAAGCAACAAACTAAAACACACTACCAGAGAAAAATCACTTTACCATTATGGAAGACAGTAAGAAAGTAAGAAAGGAAGGAAGGAAGGAAGAAAGGAGTTACAGAAGAACCAGAAAACCAGTATCAAATTGGCAGCAGTAAGTCCTATCAATTACAATGCTGAAATTAAATAGACTAAATTCTCCAATTAAAAGAACTACAGTGTAGGTATTAATTTAAAAAATAAGACCCACTTACAATCTCCTTACAAAAAACTCACTTTATAAGTGAAACCTATAAAGATACACACATAAATTGAAAGTGAAGGGATGGAAAAAGATACTCCACACAAATGAAAACCAAAAAAAGAACAGGAGTAGCTATACTTACACAAAAGTCTTCAAGACTAAGAGTGTAAAAAGAGGCAAATAAGGTCACTATATAATGATACATGAGTTAATTCAACAAGAGGACATAACACTTGTAAGTATATATGTTCTCAACACCAGGACAGTCATATATATAAAGAGAACAATAATAGATCTAAAGAGAGACTGACTGCACTACAATAATAGAAGGGACTTCAGCACCAACTCTTCTTAGTAATGGAGAGATCTTCTAGGCAGAAACTCAACAAAGAAACATTGGAGTTAAACTACACTCTAAATCGAATAGACCTGAAAGTTACAAAGTATTCCATACAACTGCTGTGGAATGCAGATTCTTCTCATCAGCACATGCAACATTCTCCAGGACAAATCATATGTTAAAACACAAAACAAATCTCAACAAATTCAAAACAGTTGAAATCCTATCAAATGATTTTTTTCTGACCAAAATGGGATAAAACTAGAAATAACAGGAGGAACTTTAAAATCTATACAAACTCACAGAACTCAAGCAATGCTCCAGAATGAACAATATATCAATGAAGAAATTTAAAAGGAAATATAAAAATGTGTTAAAATAAATGAAAATGGAAGCACAACACAGCAAAATCTACAGGATAAAGCAAAAGTAGTAATAAGAGGGACATTTACAACAATAAATGCCTACATCAAAACAGAAAACAAATTTCAAATAAACAACCTAATTATGCATTTAAAAGAACTAGAAAATCAAGATGGGAGCCGGTAGATGAATCCTTAGGGCCTGTCTAGAGTATAAAAGTCTAAAGAAATATATATTTTTAATCAATTTGGCTACCTAAGTAATTTATTTTTATAAAAATTTCAATAATTTCTTACACAGAATAATTTGCATACTATCGGACTCCACTAGTTAATAATATATGTAGTCCTTCTTAGGAAAACATACCTAAATCCTCAGAGTCAGCAGTGGTATAGATATGTTCAAAATAAAGATGTTTTTTCACTTAGCTTTACAATTTCTTCCTCTTAAAACAGGTAAATAAAAAAGATGCTTTACTGGTCTTCACTTGAGCTAGATGAAGCAGGCCTATTCTTTAAATTGTATAAATATAATTTTGGTGATTTAAAACAAAATACTTGTATAAAAACAGAATGTGCAACTAAAGTCCAAAAGTACCAATTTATATTTAGTTCAGTAAGGACAAAGGAGACGTGATGACACAACATGTCTACTTCCCTTGCCCTCAGGCAACCTTTAGAGTCCTTGTTCACATCAAATGATACCTTCAATAGGTCATGCTCCCCGACATTTGCTGCATATATCCATGTAAGCTTTTTGGTACCAGTGGGATCTGCCCAGGCAAAAAGTCGAGCTTGTCTTGGCAGCAAGACCAATTCTTCCAGTGACCCACTAAAACACAATTGAAAGGGGAAGATTAGAATATTTTGGCCTTGAGAAAACCAAACCTGTAGTTTACTGAAGAGAAAACTGGCACCAAGGTGCTATAAATTTGCTTTAGCTAATGAACTACAACTCTGTCTAAAAATAAGTGCCCTAAAATATCTAATAAACTAATAGTCTGTAAGCTTGGGGAAACAGAATATTGCCCCAGTTGAAGCTTCAGAACACTCTGAATTGACCTATCAATGGAATTCATTAAAGTAAAAAGATTGGTATATCAGAGTACACTTGTAGAAATGGTTGTGAACAGTAAATCTCTTTCATTACAAGAACTTCATTCAGTGCTTAAATTTAAATTTTTTTTTTTTTTTTTAGAGACAGGATCTTGCTATGTTGTCCAGGCTGGAATACAGTGGTTATTCATAGTGCACTACAGCAACAAACTCCTGGGCTCAAGAAATCCTCTACCGTAGCTTCTGAGGTAGCTGGAACTACAGGTATGCATCATCACTGCACTTTTAAATCAAATACAATACTTAATACTTAATATTATGGGTCTCAGTGCACCAAAAAAAAAAAAAAAGTGTCCATACTGTCACTACACAAAGTGTGGTCTGTGGACTAGCGACATCAGCATTATCTGAGGACATGCTCAAAATGCAATGTCCTTGACCCTACCCAAAAGCAACTGAATCAGAATTTGCATCTTAAGATTCCCAGGATATTTTTAAATTGACCATTAAAATTTAAGAAGCATTCCAGAGAACTGGGAAAAAAAAGTAATTAATCTGTGCTTTTAAATCTCTCACTGGATTCTCTCCATGAAAGTTAAAACTAGGGAAATCTTCAAGGAACTTACATATATACATATATTTTCTTTAAATGTGTATATAGGTGTACAATATGTATATTATCAAACATTTTCAGGGCTTAAACTATCTTCCATTAAATAAGCATCATCCAAGCCAAATGACAGCAAAGGCAAGAACAACAAAATTCCTATCAGCCTATACTATACATTCAACACCATAATCTACTTACCCATCGCTCGGTTAACCTTCTACTACCCCAATCAAAAACATTAGATATGAATTTATAGAAAGAGGTACACTGAGCATTACTGGATTACAAAAGAAAGATAATGCTTAAACAAGTTCACTCCCTTATCTGCTATTCTGAAATTTTTAAGGCACCAAAAGTCCAAAGATTCTCTGAAGTTTGGTATCAAAACTCATTTGACAGCAAAACCAGATATGATGTGAAATTATCAATAATTTCTTTATCCCACTTGATATGAATATTAATTTGCTACAGAAATAATAACCTGTTTGCTTACAGAGTACTGTCCCAAAACATACTAAGGGTATTAGTAATAAACAGCATGTGCTCCACATTACCTTTCTAAAATCTGAAGACATTTGAAATGTGAAACCCAGTGGTTCCCAGAAGTTACTGTGGACCAGGAACAGCAAATCAGATTTTCCAATAACCCCATTTTCTCATACCTCTGTTTATATGTGAGGATGTCCCATGGTGTATGGTTCATTATCAGGGCAGGTGCAGATCCCTCATGGTAATCAGAAAAGGTTATGACAGTTGAATGCTCAGCAGTGTTTACATCCACCAAGATACCTCCATTCTATGAAAGGGAAAAAAAACAAATATGTTTGAAGTATTGGTTTAAGCTGCACTTATAAAAAGAATTACAATCAGTTACGTAAACACAATAGCTTTGATTCTCAGTTCTTACTGAAGAGCAAACTGGCTCTGATCTCTTACAAATACATATATGGTATTATATACTAACATAGCAGCACCTTCAAATAATTACCAGAGTTTTATGGTAGAGTTTAACAAAAAATTTTAAAGCAAATTTTTCAAGTCAAAGACATCTTATTTTAAAATACAAAAACTTACCAGATCTTCTAAGCTCAATAAAGTGCCATTATCCTGTCGGTTATAAAAGAATGGTTTGGAAGATCCTTCACAGCCCACCACTCTTACACAAAGTTTGCCTGACAAATTTTCAGGCCAAAATGGAAGGCACTAAAAATATAAAAGTCAAAATAAATCTTAAAACAATACAGTGGTTTAAATAAGACATTATCTAATTAAAATTCCAATTCTAAATCTGATCTAGTGATTACTAAGTTTCTTAAAATACACCCACCACATCTCATATTAAGATTACTGACAATATGATGACTATTTAAGAAACAAAAAAAATTAATCAGAAAAATATAGATATATTAGTCCTATGTATTTATGATATAATTACAATATGACACACTGAAGAGCCTGCTGATTAAAAATGCTTCAAATATCTCAAATATTTAAAAACTATCTTAATACATTTGCTTTTGTGCATATCTCATTTTAAGTCAGTAACACATGACAAATTTTTACATAGAGTATTGTATCCCAGATAAACCAGAAAGACAACTGAAGGCAGAGGAGACAACACCACAGACCATGCTGAAAATCCAGACACTATCTTTCTAGCTGTTTGATCTTAATAAAAGCATATACTTTTTTGAACCTCCTTTTTCTTACCTGTAAAACTGGAGTTTTAGTTCCTAATACAAAATGTCCTTCTGTTATAGAATACTGGGGAAATTCTATTTCTGAATAAAAAAATACTACTGTTATCAAACCCGCATCAAAGATAATAAACATTTATTTGTTGCCAGGTCTATGGAGATCATTCCAAGTGCCCTGAAAACACCCATGATTTTAGATCCTAAATTTGTTTATATTGTTATCTGGAATCCTTCCTTTCGAGGCTTTTGCTAAATATTTTTTTAAATAACTTTAAAATTTTGTTTTTAAGAATGGAAGAATAATCTTTAGCTATCCTGAGGGTCAACTGGTTTAATTGAAAACTTAGTCAAGGTCAAGCAGTAGGGCTTATCTTTGCATCTGTCCTGTTCTCCCACACTTTCCCCTCATTCTCTTCAACTCCTCAAATCTTATTAAGCCTGAAAAATTTAGTTCAAATGCCATGCCTTTTGTGAACCTTTACCCTTTGATCTAGAACATCATGATTTCAATTATTTTATTGACTTTGGAAAAGTCTAAAACTCAGTTACCTATTTTGTGAAGTGAAAGGGCTGAACTTGAGTTAATTTTTAAGGAAACTTCTTCAGTAACTAAATAAACAATCTTTCTCTTTGTTGATTTATATGACTCTTAGGTTTGTCCAACAAAATAAAAGTTTTTTAAATATAGACACATTATCCTGACTATTGAGACATATACACAGTACCTTATCTCTGTGTACTTTTTACAGAACACATTCACATTCTATGCATATAAGAAGAATTAAAGACCAGACCAGGCTAGTGGAAAATATTATTAAAATTTTTCTTTTTTTAACATATGCTTACAGTGTGAAAAAAATCTCTCAAAGCTGGCTGTCATATTTTAACACATAAATATGACACCACAGTGAGTATGACAAAGAGGTATATATAATTCTTACTTATATGTCAGTATTTATTTGTATATTTTGGGAACCAGTTATATTTTCTTAAAAATGTACCTCTGAAGAAGCAATATAGGTCCATTTACTAGTCGGCACTGAGCCATCAGATGCAATTTCACCCACTTCTAGTTCTAATGATGACTTGTTTGCAATGGTACAAAAGGGAGTCAGAGTAACTATTCGTGAAAGATTAAAACTGCTCATTTTGATGCTAACACCAACCTGCAGAAAGGAAACAAACAAGCTTAAATAAACTGTATTTAATCTCTTTGAAATACACACATCCCTTCATTCACAAGTTTAAAATATTTTAAAATAAGAATTTTCGAATACAGTAACTACTGTAAGTCATATTCCACCACTATCTTCTCACCAAGAAAAAAATCTGTTAGTTCCTTAGTTTGGCTCTATCAGAAACCAAGTCAAGAAATATCAGTATTTTAACTAATGACAACTTGTGATGACAGATTTAATCTGTATGGCATTATTCACTTTTTAACATTCTGAATATAAATTGCTTTATAATTAATGTAGAGGCTCAAGTTTTGCTGCTTTATTATGTTATTAGTAAAATAAAAATTTTAAAGCAGTAATAGGGCAGCCCCTTGGGTCTCCCCTCCCACTGTGGGAGCTTTACTGTCCTCTCAATAAATCCTGTTTTCACACACAAAAAAAAGCAGTAATAAAACAGGCCAATTGATATCAGATTATTCAAATTTTCACAGTAGTCAGAGTTACAATTTAAGAAGTATCTAGCAGGGAAGGGTATGGAATAAGGATTCTAATATATTGTGACTACTGACCAAGTTGCTCATCTGGATGTCTTAAGCCTAGACAAATTCAGGTTTTGCTCTGATACTAGTGACTACAAAAATATGTAGTGGTAACAGTCCTCTAAATAAAACTATGAACTCAAATTCCTATAACCTCTGTTCACTGAAGTGTAGAAAAAGTGAACGGATTCAAAGGTTTAAAAAAAAAAAAAAAGGAAGCAGAACTTTACCAGGTATTCCATATTGCTGGCAGGACACTTCACACACCCGTAACTCCCCACTGTATCCAATGAGAAACTACTGGACCAGGCACTAGTAGAAATCTTCAATTGTACCTACACCAGAAAGTACATACCATCATATAAGAAACATAAATGACTGTAAAAATTTTATTCAATGGAAAGTTGCTAGATTACCAGAAATTTCCTTAGTATCATGGGCTACAGAAAAATACAATCAAAGCCATAATACAAAAGGTTAACAGACAACAAAAACCTCTAGAGAACAATAAAACAAAAATATAGCTCTGATCTTCCCATTCAACTGCACAATGAGTAGAGTGATTCCAAAGATGCTGGGTTGTTTTTTAAAAGAATTGTAATTCAAAATGGTATTTTCCAGTATTAGACTTATGATATAAAGTTAACATATTCTTAAAAGTATTAGCACATAGAGAATTGATGTTTTTAAATGTATTCAAGTAGATGCTACATGAAAGGCATTGTATCAGGCAGAATGGAAAACAACAGGACACAGATCCTGTCTTCAATAAGCTTCCAACTAAACAGAGTAAACAGAAAATACGTGTTAATTATTATGACACAAGGCTCAATGTGACAAGAGTCATATAAGAAGTACAAAATGCGAGCCGGGCTCGGTGGCTCAGCCTGTAATCCCGCGCCTTTGGGAGGCTGAGGTGAGTGAATTGCCTGAGCCCGCGGGTTCGATACCCGCCTGGGCAGCGAGACCTCATCTCTACAATAAATCAAAAAATCAGCTGGGTGTGGTGGCGCATGCCTGTAATTCCGGCTACTCGGAAGACG